GTCCCTGCCCGGTGGGAGGGTTGCGCGGGGCGCGGGGGGAACCTGCCGAGCCTCGGGGATGCTCTTTTGGGCCGCTGAGGATCTTTTTAACCCTTTTAGCGGTTTTTATTTTAGGGCTCGTTGAGATAAGGCGAGGGGGATGGGTTTAAGCTATAGAGGGGGATTTGGGGTGGATAAAAGGAAGACATTTTTGGCGCTGAGGGTGGTGACCCCTGTCCCAGGCTGCCCAGAGAGGTGGTCGCTGCCCCATCCCTGGAGCCATCCCAGGGGAGGTTGGATGAAGCTCTGAGCACCCTGCTCTAGCTGCAGATGTCCCTGTCCCTGCAGAGGGGTGGTCTCCATGACCTGTACAGGTCTCCTCCAACCCAAACCCTTGTGTGACTATGAAAAATAAGGCTATACAAGAGTCAGCAGCAAGTTTTACAGTGGCAGGGGGGTACAGTCTCCTACCAGAGCACTAATCCCATTTTCTGTCCTTTCTAACCCAAACTGTTCTGTGGCTCTGTGGCACTGCATCATCTACATCTGCACTGTTTCAGAAAGGAAGCTCATCACAACTTCAGTTCTTCCCAAACAAGCAACTGCCTTGGGTTTGCTGTGCTGCATTCACCTCACCAACGTGGAATTACAGTTCCTGACTGGCCTTACTTGGGAAGCAATGCTAAAACTCTGAAATTCTCCTATTTCAAGGTGAAAACTTCTGCAATGAGTAAACGTAAGGCAAAGGAGAGCAGTGGGATAAGTGCAGAAAGCCTCTCACAGGTCAGTAGCACCTTTCTTAGCTGACTTTGGGTTTAAGCCATGAAACTTCCCCCTCCTCCACCATCCATCACCTTCTACAGTCTCCTACCAGAGCACTTAAAAAGGCACGTGCAGGGACTTGGTGTGATTTCAGGGCTGTAAATGGGGTTTGTATTTATGTTCTCTGTTTCTCTCAGCTTCTCACCTGATGTGTGCTCACTTCAAGTGTTACAGCAATGATCTACTTTTGGGAGTCTTAATAAAAATGGCCAAGGATGGTCTTGAGCTTTTACAGCTGTTTGTGGCAGCAGATTTGCATAAATCTATTTTTATCTAGCCAGAATCTTTATTTTCCATTTCACAGGGTGAATCAGAATCTAGGTGACTTCTTTTTTTTTGACAGCCTGAGTCAGGCAGGACTGTAACTGCCAAATAGTCTTTCAGGTTTGTTTCTTTTTTTTTTAGGTTTGTTCTTTTGTTTCCTCAACGCAGCTACTTAAAAACTAATGTGTCTGGTAGTGAATTACATCTGGCTCAGTGGTTTCCTACATTGTAACATCTTTCCTTCAGTTATCTCTAAAATCCCTTCATAGGAGGAAAACCTTTTCACTTGTGGATGGACAGTGCCAACTGTTGATTAAAACAAAGTAAATCTGGAAATTAAATCAGTGAGACTTTAGTAGAAGGAAAAGTAACCAAAAAAATTAGGTAGACAAGTACCTCTCATGTATTAAAAAATAATTTCTTTAATTCAGTAGAATTATGAGCCAAATCAGATTTCTGTTGTTCTCCTACCCATGGATTTGGACTTGCTGAGGAGCACTTCACAAAGATAGGTCTGCATGTATTTATTTTTAAACCAGAACCACCAAAAGCTGCTGCTGCTAATTCAAACATAAATGAGCTAAGAGTTGCAGGATGTATTTCCAAGACTCAGCTGAGAGATGCAGCTGAAGAAGGTGGAAAAATAAAGCCCGTGGGGGAAGATGAGCCAACTCTGATGAAGAGGATGGAAAGCAGTGAGGCAGAGGTGCAAGCTAATGACTTGAAGAAGTGTGATTTGAGAGGAAGATGGCTTCATGAAGAGTTTGCAGTTCCATCTCTGACAGGGTTTGGTCATGAGCACTTGGATTGGGCACCAAATGTTATAAAAGGATGGAGGCTGCAGGTGTTTTAGGATAACTTCCTCCCACCCCCTGTAAGCAAGATGTTAACTTTAGTATCACCCTGCTTCCTGCCACCCCTGCCAGACTTTTAGGAACAAGGTATCTGAACTGAATCTGTGAAGGAACTGAATTTGATACTTCCTGAGGTTGGACTGTGCTTGGCTGCAACATTGTTGTGAGTGGTGCAAAAAGTGGATCCACGGAGGGTTTGAGGGAATTACTAAGTGGGTTAATTTTTGTTTAAGTCAGCTGGTAAATGTTTTCTTGCTTGTATTACACAATAAGTTAGAAATAGGCAACAGATGAACTACTGACCTAATTTTAGTGACAACTTTAACATCCCTTTGGGGGTGAAGGAAAGAAACTGTGGCAGAAGGGACCAAAGAGACACATTTGCTCTCATTTAATGGAATTTTCTCTTTCCTGCTGTAAAAGAGTTTGCTAAATATTCTGCCTAGTGCAACTGTATTCTTACTTCTGCTGTATCCTTGATGACAATAAAAATGTGCATGTTAGGGAATTTGTACATGGATATTCTACAACTGTTTGACTGCAGTCATTGCATTTTTGGCACATTCTGGTGTGTGAAGCTCCAGGAGTTCTCTCTGTTGTGTTGTATCTGTAGGTACAGAAGATTCTACGTGAAAGGTTCTGTCACCAGCATGCTACTGGGAAACTGTTTGGGACTGAACATCAGCACAAGTGAGTGAGCAGACTCAAATACTAACAGATTTCTGCTTCAACCCCAGTAGGAAAATAATGAAGTCAGAATTTTCTGCTCCTGTTTTTTTCTTTCCTTCAGTTATCTCTAAAATCCCTTTATAGAGGAAAAACTTTTCACTTGTGGATGGACAGTGCCAACTGTTGATTAAAACAAAGTAAATCTGGAAATTAAATCAGTGAGACTTTAGTAGAAGGAAAAGTAACCAAAAAAATTAGGTAGAACAGAATTTTCTTCTGTTTTCCTAAATTAGACAGGTTTAAATGACATGCAGCACAATGCTTCCAAAAAATTGTTTGCCTCAGATTTTAAGAGGTTTTGTACAACTGTTGCTGTTTTGTCAAGGCTACAAGTTCAGGGTTTCTTGTCCTTGTTTCCAAGCTGCAATTCCCAAAGCACTTTTTTTTTTTTTTGAGTCTGAAAGATATTTTTAGTGTGTATTCTAAGGATGTGCTGAATGACCTGAGTGAGCAAAAAGTTAAACTCTCTTCCTGTGCCAAATTTTCTCCTGTTTCTTGGTGACCCGTGTTAAAAGTAAAACTTTGAAAAAAATCCTTTTACAGATGCAGGTCAAATTCTGCAAATAAGAATGATGTATGTAAAGAACTGCTTTTAAAGAGTCCATTTTTTCAAAGTAACTTTTTGCAGGTTGCATCACCTGCTGTGAGCATTTGTTTCCTGTCCCTTAGAGAAAGGAAAATAACATTTCTGTGGGAATGGAATTTGGAGTTCTGTTGCTGTTCCCATTCACAAGCTCTGAGTGCCTAAATTTAGCCTATAATCAGTGTTATCAAGGTTGTCAAAATGAATATATTCCACTAGATGATTAATTTTTACTGATATCAAGGTTTTCCTTCAGTATCCTTTCCAGTCCTCCTTTTTTTTGTGGACTATAAAGTATTTTAAGAGGCCTGACCACTCAGCCTTTTGTACTTCCCTGTGTTACTTCCTGCACGCCCTGACTGTTGCCTCTGAGAGGAGTTTGATACCTGTCAGGTTTTCCCTGAAGCTCCCAAGATTCTTTGAGTTTTCCATTGTTTGTCTAGTTTGAAGTTTTTTGACTTATTGCTCTTGCCCACACAGACACCTGCTGGAGATGCTGAGGCGAACTATAGTTCAAGGGGAAAGCAACTCTGCCCTCATCATTGGACCCCGAGGATCAGGAAAGACTGTGGTATAAACAGATATTAAAAGTCTAGACAAGGTCAAAGGAAGCAAAAATGCTGTAAAAATGACTGAAAAGGCATCAAAACCATGGGAAAAGTAGAGCCAGGGGTGGATTTTTTACACAGCTTTTTGTATGTAGAGAAGAGTTAAGGTGTCTTAATCCTGCTCTAAACATCTCAAGAGAATATTGTTACCTAAATTGCTTGGAGGTAGAACATGGTGTGGTGTTTCTATTGGACAAGAGCAGGTTTTGTATTTAAAGGCACTCTTCTTGGCTGAGGTGTGTGAAGGGATGACACCTAACTTAAGAGTTACATGCTTCATTATGCAGCCACTTAAGTCTTTTATGTTTACCTGAGTATATAAGGTGAGAAACAGGTTGGCTGTTACTGCAAAAAATTATTCAAGATTGAAAAATGACACAAATTCCTTCAGAAGTCTTCCCAGTTGCTAAAGCAAGTGGTCTTCAAGCTCTGAGATGGAGTTTAATAGAAATAAATGAATAGCTGAATTCTAGCCAGAAGGGATGGCATCCCCTTATTTGCCATAAAGTTGAGAAACCAAGGGAATAAGCTTTTTTTTCATTCCAAGTATCCATCTAGACAATGCTGGCACCTGTAGCAGGAGTCTAACTGTATATTGCTTCTGAACAGTACCAGTGGAAGAGCACAGCTGAGCTCTGTGCTGCAGGCACACTGGGCTAAGTGTGAAAGCTTTCAAAAACCCCTCAGCAGAACAATCCCTCCAACACCACGTGCCCCCCTGATCACCCCACATCAAACTAATTTTATTATTCAATTGAAGTTTAAATTTTCTTCTAAGCTTTTTACGTACCTATAGCGAAGATGAAAATTTGGGATCCTGCAAAGAAGTATCAAGTGAATGAAAAATTTAACATTTCATCTGCTTATGTGTGCATTAATACAAGCTCTTCATGACTTATACCAAACACAATTTCTTGATGGACTGTAAATTTGGGATTCCTACATTTTATAAGTAGCAGTTGATGCAATTATATGCTATTTAGTTTGGTTTCTTGCTTCCTAACTTCAAGAGGAAAAGAACAAGCACAGTGTCTTTAAAAGTTCAAAGCAAGGATTTTTTTGTTCTCCAGCACCCTAATGAAGCTGAATATTTTAACTCCAGACAAATTCTCTCACACCTCCAACTCTTTAAGCTTTTTTGAATTAATGCAAAAGCCCTAGATAGCACCCCCAAAATTTAGTGACTAAAATCAGTTCTTTTTCTACTTCCTCATTTAATTCAGCAGAAAGAACAAAAATGATTGCTGCAGTTGTGATAGTGAATGCAAAGTTTTCATTTTAGTCTTGAAAACACTCCAAAAGAGTGTTACCTGATGAAACTGCACGTTCTGTGTCCTATCTGGTAATGGCCATTTCTACACTTTTCCTACTGTAATACATTAAGCTTCTTATAATGAAATGATGTGTTGTTTTTTTTTTTCCCTTTTCCTAGTTATTAAATCAAGTCTTAAATGAGCTGAAGGTAAAGAAAGAGGTTAAAGAGAACCTCTTGGAAGTTCACCTGAATGGCAAGTAACATACACCATTATTCAAACATTCTGTTACATTCTGTAATATTTTAGTCTCTTATTTTTACTGTCTTTTATGTACTGAACAAAAATGTTGCTATCAGCAGCTGTCACCTCCCCTTGAGGATGGAGACACCTCTGTGAGCTCCCAAACACCTTCCTTGGGATCTCTCTGTAGAAAGAGAACTTCCCTACTTTTAATGACTCATCCCAATGTTAAAAACCCATTCAGCTGAATTGTTTGAAGTAATTTATTACAGATGGAAAATTCCTGTCTAGTATTAATTTTTGAAAAGGCTGGAAATGAAGAGAAGCTTCTGGATAGGTTTCTTGTGACTGTAGAGGTGGCCTCCTGGAGGGAAGGAGAACTGCCAGCTCTTCATGAGAAATCACTCTCTTTCAGGCCTTCTGCAGACTAATGACAAAGTGGCCCTGAAAGAGATCACCAGACAGCTGCAGCTGGAAAACGTGGTTGGGGATAAAGTTTTTGTAAGTATCCACTTCATTATTCTCCTCCCTTATCTTGTGCAAAAATCCTTGCTTAAGAAACTGGCTTGTTGGATGCAGCTTGTGGAGACTGAATGGCCTTTGAGGTTTTATCAGCAGAATTGCAGTGGGCTGGCTCAGTCTTCTCAAAGCTTTCTCTTTTAAAAAGTTTAATAGTTGGTGGCAGCAGTGGCCTGTGGCAGCACTCACCTGTGAGGACCCTGCTGTACCATCCCTGCCAGGTCCCCACTGCCCCGTGTCCCTCACCCCACATCTCCACAGCTTGGAAACCCCTCCAGGGGTGGGGACTCCACCACTGCCCTGGGCAGCCTGGCACAGCCCTGGAGAGGAATAAATTTTTCATAATTTTCAACCTAACCTTCCCCTGGTGCAACTCGAGGCTGTTTCCTCTTGTCCTATCACTTGTTCCTTGGGAGAAGGGCCTGACCACCACCTGCTAACTTCAAATCAAACATGTAGCTTTCTGAAGAGACTTTGTTCAGAGGGGTACAACATTTTGGAAACATGAGCTTTAACACTTCAAGAGAACAAGTGAGCAATGGTACTGCCACAAGCAGTAACTTCACTGTATTTACAACCTTTTCTAGTTCACAGGGATATCTGTCCAGGCCTCCTAGAGCTCTCATTTTACACAGACTTTCTATTACAATATTTGCTTCTGTTGCCCTTTTCCCAAAGAGAAGAAACTGATTTCCATTAGTAGTGCAGTCAATAACAAAGTGAATCAGTGCAGTGCTTCAGGTTAAATATCACTCATTCGAGCATGAGATAACTTGGGCCAGTGATCTGAGCTGCCCCAGCTGTGAATTCAGTGAGCACCCTTCAGAGGCCAGCTCCTGTAGGACACTGGCTCCTCCTGAGCATCTCCCCCTCTGCTCCCAGACAGGCCCTTGGAGACTGGCAGAGTTCAGAGAGTTGTGGGTAACACTGATCTGAGGGGCTAGAGGAGAACCAGGAGGGGGGAGAAGGGGGAGTCTCCATAGCTGGGGTTTAGTTCCATCCCTTGCATTTGGGGAGCTGCTGAGATACCATGTTACTACTTCAGTTAGACCAGAGAACTCCCTTAGAGGCAGCCTGGGATACAAGACCAAGTGTAGACTGTAGCCATTGGGCTTTATTATCTTTTGGAAACACTTGTTTCTTAGGCTGTGCTTTGGTTTCTTATCCCCACTGATTCTGGAGACAGGGACTGGAAACCTCTTTCTGCTGGTGAGCTAAAATTTTCCCAAATACAGCTGCAGTGGTGAAAGGCAACAGCAAGTCTTTAACTTCAGCCTGGCTGTCTGAATGAGCTGTCTTTTCAACAGAGAATTAATTAACTCCCATTCAGAGTAAATTGGGGTTTCTGCCTTGTTTGACAGGGTTTGGGAGGGGAGATCTCTTCAGTTACCCCCACCCCACAGCCGGGCACTGCGGGGCACATGGAGGTGGAACAGCACCAGGCTGCTCCCAGCAGTCCCTTGTTCTCTGCCCTGAACAGGGGGTGGTTTTATCTCATGAAGCTGGAAATTAAACCTGAACTTGGTGCAGTTACAGAATTCTGCACATCTACTTTTTCCTTTTGTTTTTTTTCTTCTCTTTTAGGGCAGTTTTGCTGAAAATCTCGCGTTCCTTCTTGAGGCTCTAAGGAAAGGTGAACACTGGTAGCCCTTGTTCTGAAGGAGTGTGTTTGCCACTCACCTGCAAAACTAGCATGAATGTTTGGGGTTTTTTCTTAACTTGCATGAGTGTGTGAAGAAATTGAGCCCAAGAATGTGTCATGGATACAAAATAATGTAAAAAACCACATAATACTAAACAGAGACCTGACAGAGCTGCTGCCACAAAGGCTTGCAGGTGATGGGCCTTGCAATCTGAACTGATGCTTGGCAGAACACTACAAAACCTCCCCAATTTTTCAGTGTATTTTCTTTTTAATACTGTCCCAGTACGTGTGTGCAAAGAGGCCTCAGGGAGATGCCAAGAGAAAATCTGCCAGCTGTTAAAACCAGCCCGTGTGGGAGCTGTGGGGATGGAAGCCTGGTGCTGAAGTTGCCCCACTGACATCTCCAATTGCCATCCCAGGAGACAGGACTAGCAGTTGCCCAATCCTGTTTGTGCTGGATGAGTTTGACCTGTTTGTCCACCACAAGAACCAGACCCTGCTCTATAACCTCTTTGACATATCCCAGTCAGCACAGACTCCAGTCACTGTCATCGGACTGACGTGCAGGCAGGTAAGAAACTCCTCATGCAAAGTTTTCAGCTGTTTTAAAGAGGCTTTTGTCTTAGTTGGAATGCTTCCTGCTCTCCTGGAGTCTTAATTTACTAAGAAACTTGGCTCAATTACCCCATTTTTGGCTCAATTACTCAATTTTTGTGACTCTTGAATTGGGGAGGGGGGCGGGAGAGATTTAAACAAATCACAATTTGTGCTGAGACCCATCTTGGATGACTAAAAAACTGCAAAGCCTTGAGTTGGACTGCTAGAGGAAGAATTTCCAACAGAGTGGTGAAGAGTGGCCCAGGCTGCCCAGGGAGGTGTGTGGCTGCAGAAGAGCTGCATTTGGCCACAGGCTGTTTGATACCACACTGTCCTGCACTCCTGGCTCATGGGCACTTTGGTTTCTTGGGCAGCAGTTGGCCAGAACAGACTTATAGTAACCCACAGGGTTTAAATCTTTGTTCTGAGGACAGGGAGTTTACTTAAAGTGAATGCTTCAGCAGGGCACTTTGGCCATACCCTTAGGATCTCAAAAGGGGGTTAGGATCCATGTTAAACTTGCTGAGATTTCTACAGTGCTGTCACAGGGGAGTGTGGGCAGGTCAGGAGTGTTCTGTGAAATGATTATTTCTATCTCTGTGGAAGCTGATACCTGATACAAATGATCCTGTTTTCCACAAACTAGATTGGTGATGAAGATAACAGGGTTAGGATGAGAAGAAGAAGAATTAAAATCTTTCCTGGAAGCCTGGAACTGGGATTGATTCAGTTGAGGTGCTATTTAGCTGAGCAGATTCCTGGAAATGACTAGATCAGTAAAGAGTTGAGTTAGCAAATGAGGCTTCTCCTTGGCTTCCTCACTGCCCTGAGCCTGGAGCCATCCCTGCTCCCCTTCAGAAGCCCCTCTTGCTCTGCTGCTGAGGGAGAACCTTCGGGGCTGTCCCAGGGCTCTGGTGACAGCTCTTGCTTCTGAGGGGCTTAAAATCCCTGGTCCTTGTCTGACCTGCCTTCTGAATTGAAAGGGCTCGTTCTGTTTTGCACTGTCAGCTCTCTGTTTACTCTCACCACTTTCTTTTTGGTGAGGAATCTCAGTCTTCTTGAAGGTTTTTTTTTTTAAGTGCAAGTAAAACCACTAAAACCAACACACAACAAAGAGGCCCACCCCAAATTCCCCAGGACTTGGGAGGGTATTGTCCCAGTGGGAGGTCAGGGGATAGTCCTGTGTACCTCCACAGGGGTGAGTCCCACCCACAGCTTGTTCCTGATTCCAGGCTGTCACTGTGGCTCCTGAGCAGAGGGCACTTTCCTCTGGCACCTTCCACCAGCAGCCTGACGAACTGAGCTGATGAACATTGGCTCTTAATTTGGATTGCTGCCTTTTGTTTTAAGCTGGATTCTTGCAGTCTGACAGAAGGGATGGGAGCTGGCAGCTGCCAGGCCAAGTGTCCACTCCACAGGCAACTTGTCTGGAGCCCTGACAGGCTGGAACCTCTCGAATGCAGAGCTCAGGAGCCGAAGGATTCACATGAGCTGGGGAGAAATGCTGCTGGGTATCCTAGCAACTAATTATCCCGTGTGATGTCACGAGCCACATGGTCTGGAGACATCATGGCAGAGCACCTCGATTATCATAATTAGCAAAGCTCTTACTAGAACACTTTAAGCCTGAGAATTCAGTAATCCTTTTTTTATTCAGCATGAATAAAATCTGGTGCTTTCCCTCGTAGCTTTTACTGTAGCAAAGAATGCACTGAAGGCATCTGCTGCTTCTTTTTAATGCTGATGTTTCCTTTTCTTAACAAGGACATCCTGGAGCTCTTGGAGAAGAGGGTGAAGTCACGGTTCTCTCACAGACAGATATATCTGATGAACTCCTATGATTTTAAACAGTACATGAAGATATTCAAGGAGCAGCTTTCCCTTCATGCTAAATTTCCTGATGAGGCTTTTGCACAAAAATGGAACAACAACGTTCAGGTATTTAAAGAGCACTTTATGCCTGATTTTAGTAAAACCTGTGAAGTAAGAGTAGTTTTTACTTGAGATGAGTATTTCCTTTCACTGTTTGAGTTTGATATGGGATGAATCAAACTGTGCTAGAGAGTCTTCACTTATTGAACTCTTGGAGGTAATATTAGAAGAAATTGGTCACAAAAAAGACCAGGAAGTTAAGGTTAGACATGAAGAAAGGGATGAATTAAACTGTGATAATCTTCACTTATTGAACTCTGGAGGTAATATTAGAAGAAATTGGTCACAAAAAAGACCAGGAAGTTAAGGTTAGACATGAAGAAATGCCTTGCAAGTGTGAGCTGAGCCCTTCCTGAAAACGAGCTCACTTGTGTTTTCAGGGGAGTGTGCAATGGTTTGCTGAGATGGTTAAAAACAGCACTTAAATCTCTTTTTTAGCACCTTGCAGAGGACAAGACTGTGCAAGACACGCTGAAGAACCTTTTTGACTACACGAAGGATCTGCGCTCACTTAATTTGCTGCTGGTATGTACTTGGATAAAATGTCCTCCTGGCAGCAGTTGGGGTTTCCTGCCAGTTAGCTGGGCTTCACTTGAAGCCTGTTCTTACTCAGCAGGCACTGGACAGTGCTGGGTTCTTACCTGCAGTGATGGGTTTGAGCAGCTCTGCTGCACGTGGCAGTGATGCTGTGAGGGCCAACCATCTAATTAAAATGCTGCTGAGTTTGGGGCATTTAACTTTTAACAGGATTTTTCAAAGCAAAACTGTAGGCAAAATACTTGCAAAATATTCCTTCCTTTCTGAGTTTCTCTTTGGTTGCTTGTACCAAACCCTGCTTTTCCTACCTTTGCAGGTGTTTTTACTGTGGTCTCTCACTGTGTGCTTGGGTCGTTCTCAGGCTCTCCACTTTCTCCTCCTCCTGACACTCTCAGGGCTTGTCTGTGTTCCCAGCCTGTTTCTGGAGCTGCTCTTGGGGTAACTCCCTGTGTAGGTACCTGCACTTGTGTGATGACAGCAGAGCCTGCTGCATCTGGAGGAGCTGTCACTGTGAGCAAACACACTTGTCCATCCCTCTTCCCATTCCTCCTCCTTCCTAACCCCTGGCTCCTGCTGCAACACCCCTGAGCACAGACTACCTGCATTTATGGACCTGGACACCTCTTCCAGGAGAACGTTCCCATCTCTCCACAGCCTTGTTCTGCCTGCAGAGGAAATCCTTTTGGTGTCTTTTATCACTTCCAAGTTCTTCTGATGCAGAGTGTCAGATAAAACCACTTTATGAGCCACGCGGGCAGGCAACGCTTTGTTTTCCAGAGCTGCTTTCACACGTGGACTGTTTGAGGCAGCCCAGCTGCTGGCCTGAATTCATCCACTGCTGTGATGCTGCTCCAGCAAACGTGATCTTAATCTCTTAAATCTGGAGGTGCTGGAAGCTCGAGGCTGTAATCCCTGGGAACACCGAGCCAGAAGTTAATTCCCAGCTGCCGAGCGGCCGCGTTACCCGGCACCCAGGGCCTGGGGAGCCTTGGGGGATGTTTCCTGGTAGCTGCAGCTTTTCCCAGCCCCCTAAGTGAGGAGAAGTCACTGGGTGGAGACGACTCAGGCTGCTGCCTCTTAGCTCAGAGAGGAGGCTCCTGGGTTCAGTGAGCAGGAGGTAACACTGGCAGTGAACTTCCTCCCACCACGACACAGGAGCCGGAGCTTCACACGTGGTCAGGAGCTCTTGGAGAGCCTCTTGTTATCTTTCAATCTGCCTCCCTCACTTCTGCTTTTTAACACAGTTAATATGAACTCAGTAACATTCCTTAGGGAAGGCAAGCAACACTTATTTAACCAGCTTAAAATATCTGTCCGTGTGAAAAGCCCACTGAGTGTCCCTGCTTCTCTGCTGTTGTGCAAGGGTTCAGATTTTAACCTCGGGCTCTGTGGTGGGCTGTTCTTGGACTCCTCGTGCTGACAGCTGCTCCCAGCTCTGAGTTTACAGCTCAGGAAAGTAGATCCCAGGCATCCCCCTGGAGCTGAAACACGCTCCCTTTGGTACCCTCTGCTGACGTGCCTCTGGGACAAGATCACAGGTTGTTCCTAGTGTAGGGGCACCCAGTTCTGTCTTATGGCCAAGGAGGCCACCAGCATCCTGGCCTGGGTCAGAAATCAGGTGGCCAGCAGGAGCAGGGCAGGGATTATGTCCAAGGACTCGGCCCTGGGGAGGCCACAGCCTGAGTCCTGGGGCCAGGTTTGGGTGCCACAGTAGAAGTGAGACACTGAGGGGCTGGAGCAGGTCCAGAGAAGGGCAACAGAGCTGGTGAGGGCTCTGGGGAACATGGCTTGTGAGGAGCAGCTGAGGGAGCTGGGGGTGCTGAGCCTGGAGCAAAGGAGGCTCAGGGGAGACCTTCTGGCTCTGCACAGCTCCTGACAGGAGCCTGGAGCCAGGGGGGGGGTCGGGCTCTGCTCCCAAGGAACAAGTGACAGAATGAGGGGCAATGGGCTGAATTTGCACCAGAGGAGGTTTCATTTGGATATTGGGAAGAATTTCTTCCCTGACAGAGTGGTGAGGAGTGGCCCAGGCTGCCCAGGGAGGTGCTGGAGTCCCCAGCCCTGCAGGGGTTCAGAAAACGTGCAGAGATGCCATTTGGACTGGTGGGAGCAGCTCTGTGAGGGGCAGGGTGGTGGTGAACACTGGGGCACAACAGAGCTGCAAGTCATTTGTAAGCGATCACTGGAGTATGCTAATATGTCGAAATTAATATCAACAAGTTAATGAGTGTTTATCTCCTCCAGTGAGGAGACTTTAAAGTTTGAAGTCTGGAAAGACCTTCCTGGCAAAACACAGTTGTAGCCAGCAGCTCTTTACCGGGTTTGGAGGATGAGCCTGCTGTGGGCGGAGGGTTTGTTCCTTCATGTCTTCAGTGGGTGACTCCAGGGGCAATCTGTTCTTCTGAGTTCTGTCTCCAAGCAGGAAGTGAGGCCTGGTGATGAGGAGTTTGATGGCAAAGGTCCCTGCTGTGTTTCAGATGCTGGCTGTGAGCCACGTCACGGCGCAGCACCCGCTGCCCACCGCGCGGGACCTGCAGGAGGCCAGCAGGCACCACAGGACCGACTCCAAGGCAAACATGGTGCATGGTAAAGCTCAGCCCCTGCCCCCAGAACCTCTCCTGGGAGTAGTTCCTCAGACCCCTCCCCAGCTTTGCTGCCTTTCTCTGGACCTGTTCCAGCCCCTCAGGGTCTTTCTTCTGCTCTGGTGCCCAAACCTGACCCCAGGACTCAAGCTGTGGCCCCCCCAGTGCTGAGTCCAGGGGGATGATCCCTGCCCTGCTCCTGCTGGGCACCTGATTTCTGATCCAGGCCAGGGTGCTGGTGGCCACCTTGGCCACATTTCTGAACTTTAAATACCTGGGAAACAAGTGTTCTCTTTCTAGTCTCCCCCGTTCAGGAACAATTTTTTACAGGTAACACAGACAGGTGAGGCCCAGAGCATAGAAAACCAGGAATAAAACTCGTGTGTGAACTGCTTGGTTCTGGTATACTTTAGATAAGTACTGAGAGCTCTTGTTTTGCCCCCTAGGATTGTCTGTCCTGGAAATCTGCTTAATTATAGCCATGAAACACCTAAACGACGTTTATGAAGGAGAACCTTTTAACTTCCAGATGGTTTACAATGGTGAGTGAAGTGCTTGGACTTGACCAACACCAAATCATTTATTTTTCCCTAACTTTTCCTTTTTTTCCCCCACCATGACTGACACAGAATTCCAGAAGTTCATCCAGAGGAAGGCACACTGCATGCACAACTTTGAGAAGCCAGTTGTCATGAAGGTAAGCCTGAAATGCAGGATTTTCACTGGAAAATATTCAGATCTTGGGTTTCTCCTGGAGCCAATTTGAGCGGTCCCACGCAGCCCCAGAACAGAGAGTGGATGTTTGGGGGCAGGGAGAGGCCCCTGCTCTGGGGGGGACACCCAGGGGGTGGGTTTGGCTCAGCACCAGTGGGAGGAGG